TTCGGCACTGATCCACTGGCCTTCCCGGTCAATTAGGTGGCTCGGATTTCCCGCCACTCTCCCCGGGCCGGTGCTCTCTCAGACGTCCGCATTTTACCCTCTACATCAAAAGGGGCAACCGCGGGGCTGCTGCGTTGGTGCACAAGCACATTTGTCCTACCAATTCGAGGGCCGGCCCTGTTTTCCCGCCTTTCGTGGCTCCACCCCCCTCCCTGCCTGCTGACCCGTGTGTGTCGTGTGTGTTTTATACCCGTGGTGGCTGAGCAGCCCCGTCATGACCATGTAATTACAACCCAAGTCACGGCGCCGCGGTGCAAGTTAGCCTGGGGGGAGATTGCCCAAGTCCCTGGCCGCAGGAAACCGTGAAGATTAGTCCCATGAGAGGGCTTCTGGGTGAAAACCTGTTGGCCAGGTGACCTCCCCTCGAGGCTCTATGTGGGGGTGTGTGTGTGTGTTCATGTGGGGGGTGGTGAGGGAAGAGCAGCGTCGGCCCCGTCGCTCGGAGGTGGCGGCGTTGCCGGCACGGCTCCGACGAAGCGGCTTCGCTGCTGTGGCACCACATAGCCCCCCGAGGCGCCAGTCCCCATCCCGGGTTGACTGGAGCACCTCGCCTGGGTTGCCCCCACGAGGTAGCGTCGCGGGGTCCGCGGGACTCGCCCAGCTCTCGTGGCCGGCCTCGGGGGTGGTGGCTCCATCTTCTGGGGTTCCGGCGGCGGCCTCCTCCTCCAATCCAACGGCTCCTCTCGTCCCTCTGCACCTGCGGGCTGGGGAACAAACTCAGAGGAAGCAGGGTTTAGGGGCCGTGGTGCCACCACAGCAGAGCAACTCGGCCGGCGCTACCCTCTCCTCGCACCCCCCCCCCCCCCCCCCACTGAACACTCGCATGCACCCCGTAGGGTCTCGAGGAGGGATCACCTGGTATGATGGGTTTTCACCCGAGGACCCCACTAGCAGGGACGTTCCACGGTTTCCCCGGATCAGGAAATTGGCTGAGCCCCTCAGACTGGATTACATGGTGGCCCCCCCAAAAAGGGGGCATAGAGCTTTACAGGCCGGCCGCGATGAAGCATACACAACACGGGTGGATGGGACCTTCAGCCAGCACCCAGCGGCAGGATAAACAGTGGGATGGGAGGGAAAAGCCCCTAGGCAGATAAGAGTTGATTTAAGTTGGAGGGAGCGAGGGGATTATCGGTGAGTCAACGGCGAGGAACGCAGGTACAGAGACAATGGGAAGGGGGGGGGGGGGGTGACGCGACCCCCCCACCCCCCCAACGGCCCGAGCGCTCAAAACGGCCGAAAAGAGGATTCGATTGGATGCGCAGGATGACGTCATATGACCCGGGGGTTAAGGGGCTTTGGGGACATAAGGGGGCCGGAGGGGCGGATTGAATCAGAGTTCTTCTGGCGCGGTGGAAGAGACCAGCCGTCCTCAGCGTCTGTGCAACGCATGCAGGGTGGAGCTGGAAACGATCGGCCAGAAAAAGTCCCCAAGGTGAGCATCTTCCCCAGTCCCCATCGGGCAGCTGAAGAGGTGAGTAGGTACGGGGAGGGGGCCAATTCAGCCCAGCTCGCAGTCAGCTCGAGCTTGGGGGATAGACGCACTCTGCGACGGCTAGGTGATAGGAGGTTAGGCGCTGTTCGAAGGGTGCTGGCTGGAGGGGGCCATAAACAGGGGTCCCTATTCACTCCGGGAAATAAATCTCAGCACAGACTGACGTTGTGACTCGTGGTGCATGTGTGCGTGTGAAGAGTGGTGGGACAGCGATCGGCGTACGATGGTGTGTGGGTGACTATAAATCAGTGTGGGTGTGACGCACGCGCATATTAAAATATCAACGGTTGCCCGCGCCGGCGCGTGTATATGTGTGATGCCGCCGCCACGGAGCCGATTGGCTGGTGGCCCACCTGCGATCTCGCCGCCCCCGAGCAGCGAGGCCGACGCTGCTTCCACCTCACCACCCCCCCCACCGAAACACACACGCACGCATTCCCCCGACAATTAGAGCGCGTGGGGAGACACCATGGCTGACAGGTTTTCACCCAGAAGCCCTCGTAAAGGGATAATCTTCACGGTTTCTTGCGGCCAGGGAATTAGACGGTCTCCTCCGATGCTAACACACACCGTGGCGCCGTGACTTGAGTGGAAATGACATGTTCACGGCGGGGCTGCCCCGCCACCGCGGTTAGTACGCACCTCACGCACACGGGTCGGCAGGGCAGGTAGGGGGAGGGCGGAGCCACGAGCAAAGGGAAAGCAGGGTCGCCCTCTGGTTGGATGGCCACTGAGCAGGTAAATTTAGATGTGGACGTCTCTGAAAGCAACGGCCCGGGGATGCTGGAATACAGGTGGGCATACCGATTGGCGAGGGATCCCAGCGAGCTGATTGGCCAGCGAGTCGGCACCAGGTAGCCCCTTTGATGTAGAAAGAATAAAGCGGGTGAGGGCGAGGGCAAGAGCTCGGGTGCTGCTCGAGTCAACTCCCGGCCTGTCAACTCCCCAGTCCAGCCACTCGAACGTCCGTGAGACGTGTCGACGTGCCGCGAGGACCAGCCGACAGTAGCGACGAACCGTGAGTAAGAGTGGGAGAGAAAGAGGGAGTTGGGTCTTAGCTTAAAAAGCCTGAGAGGCTTAAGTGGAGAAGGATAGGTAGAGTACAGTGCCGACTATCGAGAGATAGATTGGTCCTGCCCCGCTGATCCCAACTGACTCGGTTAAATAAGGGCTCGCTGACCCGGTGGAATAAATGGTCGGCGATCCAATAACGGACTGATGTGGTTTTTGCGGGTGTGTGGAAAGAGCGTGGGAGCGTGTGTCCGCTTGCAGTGTCGCGTATGGTTGGGGCCCGCGAGTGAATATCAGCCTAGTGTGGGTCTCGCGAGTGTGTGGAAAGAGAGTGGAAGCGTGGGTGCGCTTGCTGTTAGCGGTGGTCGCCGCGTGTGTGGAGCGGCGCCGCGTGGGGTGTGTGCGCTAAAAACCCTCGGCTGCGGACTCCCACATTGCGAGCGGATACCCATCCCGCACGCGTGCCCATCGCGTAGCCCCTTTAAATCCATTTAATCCAATCCCCCCAATTGGCGGCGTGGGTACGAGTGACATCGCTTGCCCTCCGACCTCTAACCCCCCTGTTACCCGCGTGTGATTGGTGCGTGGGACTGCGCGGGTGGGGAGCGTCACGTTCGAGTGCCGGCGAAGCACTAGCGGGTCTCAGGGCGGTCGAGAGTGATGCCTTACCGGCAGGAAACCCGGACTCGGGGGGGGACAGCCCAGGGAGGGGAACAGGAGCGCGGCGACCCTTCCCCGCCCTGTGAGGAGCGCAGCGGCGGCAGCTCCCACACTAGTGGAGAGTCTGGGGGTGTCGGTACTTCGCGGGCAGGGTCGCAGGCAGGGGAGATCCCGGGGGCCGACGACCCTCACATATGCGCGCACCGCAGTGTTAACGGTGAGACACGCGCGAGTGTCGCGTGGAGAAAACGCGTGGGTGGGGGGGGCCGCATGGGCGCTGATTAATTTCTTAATATCCGGACCGCGCGGGAGCATTCGCCTTGTTGACACAACGGCTTAGTGGAAATTATTAATTAAACCCCACACAGTAGCGAGTCAAACAATTACGTAATCCACGCGGTTAGGACGCATCAGTGGGGGGAAGGGCACGCGCGTAATCAACCCCTAGGCGGTGTCGGCCAGCCGATAGCTATGTCGGTCAGAGAGGACGCTGGTACGGGGGGGGGGTCACCCGATCGATGGGGCGGGAGGGCATCAGCCCCCACCAATTAGAAGGGGCGCCCCTCCCGCCCATGGTGGGTGAGGGGGAGGTCGGCCCCCACCTATTGGGGAGTGAAGAGGGGGGCATCAGCCCCCACCAAGTAAACGTGGCGCCCTCCCCCCCCGCTCGTAGTGAGGGACGGGGGGATCGGCCCCCACATAGTGGGGAGTGGGGGGGGGGCATTAGCCCCCACATTAGCCTCGGGGGAGTTCGCCCAATTCCCTGGCCGCAGGAAACCGTGAAGATTAGTCCCATGAGCGGGCTTCTGGGTGAAAACCTGTCAGCCAGGTGACCTCCGCTCGGGGCTCTATGTGTGTGTTCATTTGGGGGGTGCTGAGGGAAGAGCAGCGTCGGCCCCGTCGCTCGGAGGTGGCTTCGTTGCAGGCACGGCTCCGACGGAAAAAAAATCCACGCGACCACGAGAAGCACATGTGAACTCTTAATATACAAGCGTCGGGGTGAAATCGAAGCCATGACCTCCTGTATACCTGGCAAGGTAGTTAACATCTCGCCACCGTGGCACCCTATACATAAATTTTGATTTAAAGCTTTCGTGACTGCAATGATTCATCTTCTTTGGTTCTTTCGGTAAAGTCACGTAGAATGAGAATAAAAGAATAAATTGATAAAATAAAATAACACAATAATATTCTCACGACGTTGACTTTACCGAAAGAACCAAAGAAGACCCTATACATACGTAAATAAATACATAATTCGTGGCCAGGTCGCTTCTGAAAAAGAGCTATGTAGGCTAAATGCGCCTCAACTGTTTTCAAATAAAAATAAGTCATTAAAAAAACCCTTTTTTTAAACACGGTTTTATGAAATGTACTAGTAGTAATGTCAGAACTCCACGACTTCAGGAAGTGGCCCCGAAGCTCGCCACAACGTAAGGGGACCGTGGCCAATTACAGCCAACGTCAGTTGAGCGTGGACAATTAGACCCAAGCCGAAACATAACGTATAAAAAAGAATGTTTAAAATATATTTATTATTTTAAATGATAGAATATAGTATCGTCATCAGCATGACATAAGCATACCAAGTTTGCAGTCGATACCACATTGGGAAGTGTGTTAAAATTGAGTTACACGATTTGAGGATACCACAACGACAACAACAGACAGAGTGCGTTAATAAAAAAGCGTGTAATAACTTTAGTTTAATAGAATACAGGTGGGCCAGGTAGATGAGGGAGGGTGAATAAGGGCGTGGAATGCGATCCCCCCCTCCTCCCTCCTGTCTCCGACGGGAGAGCGCGCGTCACGTGGGGCAGAGCGACACTGTACAGGCAACAGGCGGAAGCACTTTCGGCTTTGCGTGCATCAAGGTTGTACCGAACCTCTGCACAGATGGGATGGGGCTAAAACGATGAACGGATTGAACGTGACCGATCGATGCATGTCGACAGGTTGTATAATTCAAGCTAGCTAAAAGGTGGTGGTTTTACATTGCCTTGGACGCGGCCGAGTGTGGAGCGTCTGAAGCAATCGAGGCTTGTGTCCGCCAGACAGGTGTGCGCGCCGCCCTGCCTGCCTGGGCGGCGGGCAGCTCGTTCAACAACAACAACACCGCCGCCGCCTCCTACACGCACACCTTGATGTTCGCCGACCGAAGGCTACGACTTACATGGAGCTTCACACGCTGAGGGCCGTGCTGGCAGCTTGTGTGGTGGGTAAGTCGAGCTCGCAACTGAACCGTCACGCAGTGCTGTGGCTAAGTGGGCGGCGTCAGTCAGGCTCGGCTGGCTTCACGGAGTGGCCTTTAGAAAGTGCTTTCTGCGTGTCTATTGGAGTTACTCTACAGCTGTTTTTAAGACAACCACAAATCCTGTGATAATGACCTGTGTAACCGTAAAGCTTAAGTGTAAACATGCGATATACGTGAATTCCGAGTATATCCTTTGGGTCGGATGTAACTTGCCAGTGTTGTATGGTTTGTGATGCTATAAAGTACCCTACTGTAGCTTCCTGCGGAGTTATTTTTAAACTGTTTTGGTGAACTGTAAATGCTAATTGAACGTCAGAATTGGGTCTTGTATAATAATCTTTGTAAATGACAGCGCCAGAGAAGATTATTACATTAAGTTTTATCCTATCTCTTTGGTTCTATTCGGTAAAGTCACGTAGTAGGTAAAAAATAAAACAACAAAAATCATGACGTTTCGGCCACAACACAAGCGGCCTTCATCAGGTGACGGGATCGGGCTGTCTCGAGGACAGCGCTGGAGTGAAACACAGCCACGCTCAGACCGCGACCTTTAAGCTGTGTGCGAGGAAACAAGGTGCCTTGACAAAGGAATTAGCATAAAAATTTAACATTTGATTGGCCGACTTAGCATAGAGGTGGTGTACATGCGGGTGCACATGCCGGTTGGCGCGGGGGGGGGGGGGGGAGTTTACCTATTGATGGTGTGAAAAGGGAATTTAAGAGCTGCGAAAGTTTGGGGTACCACTACTTGAAAAATATACTGTACCATTGAAAATTAGTTTAATGTTTGGTTCGATTTAGAACATCTTTCTAATGGTTGCTTAATTTGAAACCATCTTCTCGGTTGAAATTGTGTCTGTGTTTGTAGGTCTGAATTGCCTCGTGAACAAATCTTTGATAAAAACCCGTGGGTTTGCAAAGAACCTTGCTATCGGAGAAAATTATATCGTGATCACCCACAGCGTTGTAACAATGATCAGCTACGTGACTTTACCGAATAGAACCAAAGAGTATGGATCCTTGCAGTCACGAAAGCTTTAAATCTAGAATTTATCCTATCTGTCCGTAACGTGCATTGTTGTCATGCTTATCCGTGTTGGAGGTACTAAGTCAATGCTGTAAATTCTACATTCTTATGGAAGTTCAGGTGTCCATGAGAAAAAAACACCACTGAAATACTATCAAGTGGTGTAGCCTCGTAAGTTGCTATTAAATGCATGGATATGGAAGGGTGATGCTGGTGGGTTCAGTTGAACATTTAGGATTCAAATAATTTTACATACAATTGAAATCATGTTGCCTTTGAAACTGAACAATGAAATTGATGTGGTATGTGTTCCACACAAATTTAATAAAATAAAATCCTTTGACCAAAGGGTGTTCTGAGACAGCGTTTATTTTAAAGCAATGTCTCAGCACATCTCAACTGCAGTGACTCAGGATGTGAATATCAACAACGGGGTGCCACGGTGGCGAGATGTTAGCGACCTAGCCTGGTTCAATCTTGTCCCTGATGATGCCTGTATATTTGGAGTTTGCATGTTCTTGCGGTCGCGTGTATTTTTTCTCCGGGTCCTCCGGTTCCTCCGGTTTCTCTGGTTTTTCCTTCCACATTTAAAAACATGTCAAAATATTATCATTTAAAAATATGCATTCAGAGTATGTGGCTGCTGTAAATTTCCACGTGATAAACCACTTTGTTGAGCTTTCACTGGTGGCCAGGTCGCTTCTGAAAAGAGCTATATAGTTCAGTGGGCCTTACCTGGTAAAATAAAAAAAAATGTTTAGTTTAACATAAAACAGCAAAACTAAACAGGTGATAAATACATAATCATAGGAAAAGGGTTCAGAGATTATGTGCAGAACACACTAGCCACTACCCATAACCACAACCAGCGACCCAACCAGTTACTAAAGATAGTCCTTCCATTAACAAACCCTATTTCTTAACCCCATAATCCTTCCTCCAGTTTTCAACCTGGGGTTTTTTTCACTTCTTTTCACTTTTTATTGGTGCATTACAATGCACAGAGGCATGAATAGACATCAGAGCAGGTTATGGATACTGTACGCTACACGAAAGCTATTTTTCATTTCAATATATCAGCTGCTTAGTGACCCTGCCTTGTGAGAGTAATACATAACTTCATGTCTTTAAATGTCCTTTCACAAAGTGCGTCTCAACTGTACGCCGAGATGTGGCTAATTCTGTAATAGTGGTTGGCACAAATGCACCATGTTCTCTCTTTAAAAATGTGTTCATTGGCCCTATGACCAACATTTAAATATGTAATCATCATCCTCCCCTATTCATAGTCAGAAAATGGGGTACCACATGGTGAGGTTGCACAATGTAGTGGAAAGTCAGCAGTGATCGTCTTATTGAGATAATGACGCATTTTCCATGGGAATGTAATTTTCACAATTGTTGAGGCCCACAAATGGAATTATTCTTTGTTTTTTTCGGTAAAGTCACGTAGAAATAAGAAATAATAAAATTACATAATAGCGCACGACGTTTCGATTGCAACACAAGCAATCATCATCAGGTACAGAAGAGCTAAATTTACGAGAGAGAGGAAACACAACCGCAGATATATATACAGACACAGATACAACAGGGGATACAGAGAGAGAGAGGTGGGAGCACACTAAATCAAACATGGTTTAGCAAAATTTGGAAACCATATAACGCAACACAGACGGCCGGTCAAAACACAATTAACGCATGGTCTGGTTGATTACGCTATTTCAAAGATTGCTAAATTGCAAGTTAAGTGTGAAATTTAAAAAATATACAGACCGCATACACATATATAGACATCCAAGCAGAACGAGTTAGCACAGAGACACATGGGGAGAGACACGCACACAGTGAAGCAGCATCTCTGTGTCAACGTCTTAAATAGACAGAGAAGGCGGGGCCGAGATACAATGGGACACAAATTAGCATGTGGCGCGAGGGCTACGGAGGAAACTATACATGCTCGGAGGGACAATGGGACACAAATTAGCATGGAGCATGAAGCAAGGGGCGGCGTGGAGGCTATGGAGGAAACAGCACACACTCAGAAACACCAAGGCACACACACAGGCAGAGACAGCACAGAGACACAAACCTAAGTCAAGACACAAAGGTAGACACGCCAGCAGAGAACACAAAGACACAGACTTCATACCTCCCCAAAGAGGTGGTTGAAACTTGAATTTGTCGCTTTCGTGCTCCCACCTCTCTCTGTATCCTCTGTTGTGTCTGTATATATATCTGCGGTTATGTGTTTTCTCTCTCTCGTAAATTTAGCTCTTCTGTACCTGATGATGATTGCTTGTGTTGCAATCGAAACGTCGTAGGCTATTATGTAATTTTATTATTTATTATTTCTATGTGACTTTACCGAAAAAAACAAAGAATAATTCCTGCAGTCACGAAAGCGCCAAACTCAAATGAAATTACTTTCCTGAAATATATCTGATATGGAGATTACCATGCGTGTAAATTCTAATGATGTATTAGAAGGGTAACAAAGCTGAAATTTGGCGCAAATGGCAAGTTCTTACAATTACAAATTCAAAAAGTATGGGTCAAAGGTGAACTAATTACACTTCTGGGACAGGGTCAGCCTAAAGTTCTGAATTGTATTTTGACCCATGATAAATACTTAAAAACATAGCCCCTATATCAGTAAACAAAGTAATCTGCTTACCATCCAGTGTGATGGTAAAGCAATATTAATCATGTGTATGTGTTTCAAACGCTTCAATTCTTTCTGCAGCAGGATTATCAACATTTGCACTGGCAGATGGTACAGTGTCACCCAATCCATGTCCAGCTGGGTCAAGTGAGCGATCTGGTGATTGTTCAGGTATTTTGTGGGAGTGTGTGTGCCCATCTTGTGTATTTGATAACTTGCAGCACATCAGTCCATGTTTTAACTCGGAGCTGAGTAGACATGCGGACAGCGGATACCAGAGCTGTCAAGATTGGCTTTTGTAAAAGAAGGTTTTTAAAGAAATTAACTAACTAATCCTCCATTCCGCATCAATAGGAGGCAGAGAAGCAGTGATCACAACATCGAGTAGAGTGCTAAGCTGATACAACGCAGTGAGTTCGCAGTGAGAGTACAAGTGGTATATCTGCCAGGCATCTCGGTTAGCCCATAATATCTGGGTCTGTGTCGCAACCACCTTCCCAGCAAGACTTTGACACTTAATGTAACCTCTAAGCAGACCTAGCCTAGCACAATCAACTGGAATCTAAACCTGGCCTATACCTCCCCTAGGTCAACTCGGTATTAAATGGCTTCCTGGTACCATATGGCCATAAACCTCACTCACGTGCAATGGTCACACCACTTGTTCCATGTGTGCTGTTGGGCTTCAGTTTTATGCTTGCTAGCAGCATTTCACCAGTCTATGGAAAAACAGACATATGTTTCCTTTGTTTTAATTAAGAAATTGACCTTTGTATATGTTTTTGCCCAAATGTCTCTCTTTGCAGAGGTCAGACTCGACAAGGGAGAACAACACTTTGGGGAATGTCAAGGGAATGACAAGCACTACTGCATCTACGGAGAGTGCCGCTTTCTTATCAAGTTAAACACTCCCACCTGCATGTAGGTACCGAATGGCCTGGCCCTTGAGTATTAATTGCTTGGTATTCAATGGCATAGTACTATTAACTATAATAACTCCCAATGTATAACTATGCCTTCAATACTGATTGGAATGATTTCATTTAACAAATTTAAATATCTTATGAACACAATAGTGTATTTATTTTATTATCACAATAATATTCAGTACCAAAACAGACATTTTTAAAAAATCATTCACTGCACATGGTCAAGGCACAGCTCAAATTTTTGGGCCCAACAATTTTTAAATATCTCGTGTTACCAAAACAACACGACAGCTGTGGTGGTATTGGTTATTGAAGCCACTCTTTACAAATGGAAATCAATGCAATTGGAACAATTCCAGTATCCAATGTTACCTTGGGAAATTTGATTTGGAAGCCTCACCTACGAATTAATTTTACATAATTTCTATTCAGTGAATTAATGTATGTTATATTAAGCATTTTGTGGCTAGAAACAAACTTATGGATTCATCTTCTTGGTTCTTTCGGTAAAGTTATTTCCATCCTACGTGACTTTACCGAAAGAACCAAGAAGATGAATCCCTGCAGTCACGAAAGCTTTAAATCGAAACTTATGGATGAATGGCTCTTTAACTATTTACTTAATCATTCATTCTATTATGATTGTTCTATTTATATTGTTTCTTGGAATGGAAGTGCAGTCCCATCCCACCTGAGAAAGAAAGGCAATGCTTGAAATGCGTGAAAAATAACATGTATATTTTCACAACCAAAATCATGATTCATAATAGTTTTTTCGGTCAGATTGCGAAATTAAAATGTGTGTTGTAAACCCTCTACCCGATACAGCCAATTAATAAAGTCACGTGAACAAGCGTGTCAAGTTATTATTACTTTGGCAACCTCACGAAATGTAACAATTGAGTTTCACATGTTTGCTAATGGTTATAACAAGTGTCATCACGCAGTTAATATGGATTGTGAGAATGTCCTGAAGTTTTGGTCCTTAAATAGGAGGTGTGATGTCTCCAATGTGCACCCACAAGGGAGCAGAGAAGTGGCAGCTAGTGATGATACTTAGAGATAAATGTAATTTATTACAAGAAATGTTTACTTGAGTAAATGAGTCAGTCATAGTTTATTAGTTGTACTGGATGGTTATGTTAAATTATAATAAATTACGTGAGCTATATTAAAGAGGTACACATTTACATAATGATACTGGTTAGTCATAATTAGTTACAATAAATTATTAGTAATGTTTTAACAATGGTTTGTTTGTTTCAAATGCTTTAAATACAGTTTTGTTCTTATAAAGGTTATATAATTGTATATTTATTACCCAATCATACGTTTATGAGCTGTTAGCTCAGTTGAATTCAATTTTTTTCTGTGCATTTAAATTAATTCTATATAAGTCTTGGCCAAAAATCAGTAGTTTGCATAGAACATTAACGTTATCATCATGCGAATGTTCTTGTTGCCGACAATTGTGTTTGTATTTGATGTTCCTTTGTTAAGTTATTACTAGCGTCTTTGCCCATCCTAGGACGGAAGCTGTGGTGATTTATTTTATTTTATACCTACGTGACTTTACCGAAAGAACCAAAGAGTATGGAAGCTGTAATATTTATTAAAAAATTGAGCACAGTATAATTGGATCTTGTGTAAATTTAATGGCAGTGAATCTTGCGCAAAAGTATGTCATCAAACACTTCACTGCATTTCACTGTAGCAATGTATTAATGGCAGTGAATCTGACAAGACAAAGTCATAAAACACTTCACTGCAGTTCACTGTAGCGCTGTATTAATGGCAGTGATTCTTGCACAAACCTACGTCAAAACAACCCACTTCATGTCACTGTAGCACTATATATAACTGACCTTCAATTTGTTCAAATTCACTGCTCTAATACTTTATTCTCTTCTGCTTTCGGTTGGAAATCGATACAATGTGGAAAATCACCGAAAAATGTCTTTAACCATAATGTAGAAGTATAAATTAGACTTATCTTTTGTCTCAAGTGCTGAAGAAATAAATAAAGACACCAAATCCACTTTGTTGCTGCATATAATGATTTATTAGATTTACTTTTAATAAAGAAACGTCAAACTTAAAGCGAATTTGCAGAAAAAAGAGTTTCCTTCCGCTCGACCTTCTGCGTGAGTGTAAAAATCCACCCGCTCATGAATGTTAATGATGGGGGGGGGGGTGCGGCATGTGGAGTGACGTCACGCGCGTTACACACAAACAGACATTCTTGGCTCATTATAGTAGTAATTATGCTAATATTTCGTCCCGTCAAGCCAACATATTATCGGTGTCCCGAAGCAGTGATATATTGGCATGATTGTTCACGTACAAACTTCATTAATTGGCTGTGTCAGGTGGATGATTGATGACACGTAATGTTTACTTTTGTGATCTGACCCAAACTCAATTATGAATGATTGTTTTATGAGCACAATACAGTTTTACACATTACTTATTAATAACCAGATCTTGCCTGCATTTGCACTGGTATGCTTGAAGTGTTGGGAGGTGAGAAGTACGTTTTCTGTTGTAGAAACATGAGTCGACTCACCCTTCGTCATGCCAGATCAACACCGAGACTCTGTGGACTTATGAACTTCAACATTCGACACTCAATGGATAATTCACTTTGACATGCTGCCTGCTAAATGGAGGCACCTGGAGCGAGTGCCCCTGCGGTAGAGACTTCAGAGATGTTCCTTTCACTAATCATGATTGCATTTTTTAAATCAGGCTCTTTGAAGAAATAACACTATGCAACACAATTTTTGTTCCTGGGTAGTAAGTGTATTTCGTAATTGCTTGTGTCTAAAAAGTATAGAAAATGTCTATTATTCCCAACAAACTTTGCTTATGTGACCAGGACAGTGATCATTTGAAATCTACCTCTTTTCAAAGAGAAAACGGGCGAATTTGTCTTTTCGTTCATATAAAGTCAAATAACATGTATTTATACTAAAGTCATACAAAAATTTATACAAAAGATTTAGAAGTGAGTATTTTGAGATTTACGATTGTACTGTAAATCACGTTCACGAATCAGCCCCCAAATGTAGTCTCCCATCACGTTCTCGTTATACTGTCCTTACTCTTTGGTTCTTTCGGTAAAGTCACGTAGAAAGAGAACATAATAAATTAAATAATAGCATATAATGTTTCGATTGCAACACAAGCAATCATCAGGTACAAATGAAAGAGAAAACAAACCGAGTAAACTTAGAAATATAATGCAATACAACACACATAGTCGGCTAACATAACACAGTCAACACCCTACCTGGTTGATTACTTTCTTCCAAAGATTGCTAAATTTGAGAGAGAGACAAAAACAGAACTGGAGACACATAGACAGACACATAAGCAGAGAGAGATAACACACACACACAGAGGGAACACACACATAGGCACACAGAGAAACAATGCCTCTGTGTCGAAGCCTTAAATAGAGAGAGAGGGGGGTAGAGAGATAGAGGGTGGGGGTTAAGAAATTAGCATGTCAATGAGAGACTTGGAGCCTTCGTAACTGCAGGAAATAAGAGCAATAAAACGAGGTGAGACAGAGAGAGAAAACACACTAAATCAAACAAACTTGTTAAAATTTGGAAATGTAATGCAATGCAACACAGAGTCGGTCAACACACAACGCATAGCCTGGTTGATTACGTTCTTCCAAAGATTGCTGAATTAGGAGTTAAGTGTGAAATTTGAGAGACAAGACACAGACAAAAAGACAGACACACAAGCAGAGAGAGACAACACAGAGACACAGAGAGAGAGAAAACAAACTTAAAACCTCCCCCTAGAGGTGGATCAAACTTGATTTGGAGCTTTCGTGACTGCAGGAATTACTCTTTGGTTCTTTCGGTAAAGTCATGTAGAAAGAGAAAATAATACATTATATAATAGCATATGACGTTTAGATTGCAACACAAGCAATCATCAGGTACAAATGAAAGAGAAAACAAACCTAGTAATTCCTGCAGTCACGAAAGCTCCAAATCAAGTTTAATACACCTCTACGGGAAGGTTTTAAGTTTGTTTTCTTTCTCTCTCTGTGTCTCTGTGTTGTCTCTCTCTCAAATTTCACACTTAACTTCTAATTTAGCAATCATTGGAAGAACGTAATCAACCAGGCTATGCGTTCATTAAGTGTTGACCGACTCTGTTGCATTGCATTACATTTCCAAATTTTACTAAGTTTGTTTGATTTAGTGTGGTTTCTCTCTCTGTCTCCCCTCGTTTTGTTGCTCTTATTTACTGCAGTTACGAAGGCTCCAAGTCTCTCATTGACATGCTAATTTCTCTACTCCCGCCCTCTATCTCTCTGCCCCCCTCTCTCTCTATTTAAGGCCTCGACACAGAGGCGTTGTTTCTCTATGTGCTTATGTGTGTGTTCCCTCTCTGTGTCTCTGTGGTATCTCTCTCTGCTTATGTGTCTGTCTATGTCTCCGGTTCTGTGTTTTGTCTCTCTCTCAAATTTAGCAATCTTTGGAAGAATGTAATCAACCAGGTAGGGTGTTGACTGTTATGTTAGCCGACTATCTGTGTTGTATTGCATTATATATCTAAGTTTACTAGGTTTAAATTTTGATTTAAAGCTTTCGTGACTGCAGTAAGTTATGGTCGAAACGTCGTGAGAATTTTTTATTGTTTTATATATATTTTGTTATTTTGTTGTTTCTCTTCAACGTGACTTTACCGAAAAAACTAAGAATATGATTTACTAGGTTTGTTTTCTCTTTCATTTGTACCTGATGATGATTGCTTGTGTTGCGATCGAAACATATGCTATTATTTAATTTATTATGTTCTCTTTTTACGTGACTTTACCAAGAGAGCCAAATAGTAATTCCTGCAGTCACAAGCTCCAAATCAAGTACTATACTTTCCTTTGTAGCGACGTTCAAAGTCCAGTATATCTTGGTGCAAGCGCTCGCCTTGCTCCTCCGAGTATGCTGCCATGTTCTCCTTTAATTT